TTTCCAGTCCTCAGTAATTCCTGGGCATGCAGTGCCTGCCTCACTGCTTTCACAAATGTCCACAGCCAACAGTTTGTCCATTGTGTTTTTCAAACACCTTTTCCATTTGCCAGTGCACTCAGAGATGTCTGGTAGGTAAGAGACCACAGTCCCCCAAAGTCCATCCCTATGTCCTCTAAAAGTAATATATGGAATTTAGCTCATAAAAGTCTTTCCTTCTTTCCCATTTTTTTTTTCATCAAATGAAGACTCCTCTCATCTATTTTCTCCTCTTTACGGTTTAACAGTTTATTTTTCTATTTCTTCAGTGTTCTTCTAAATAATTTCTTTAGCTTCAGATTATGCTTTACTTTACATTTCTCCTCATCTATGCTAGTGTTCCTTTACTAACCACTCATTTTTACATTGTAACATTTTCTATACTCAGTTTCTATTTTTTCACTGCTTACATCAAATGTTTCTTCTGTTTGCCATTTGTCATTATCTTATCTTTTATTTTCTCTGTCACATATTTTAGTATTGCATTTTTATTTCCATATCTGTTTTTCCATACCTGATTTAATTCAACAATACTACATGGTGGCCCAATATCTGGTATAACAGTTCAAAATCATTACTGCTATACCTCAGGGTTCATATTATTACTTAAACTCACATATTTATTTAATAAAAGCATTTTTCATTTTTTAATTGCAATGTTTACTTATCAATTTAGCTTCTTACTGCTTAAACTTTAAAATTATTTTTTTTTAACTCACTCTAATGCATTCTTTAACATTTACCTAGCTTCTATGATTTTCGTCTGAATCACTGTACTTTACTACAAACAAATGACATAGCTGACTTTGAGAAAGATGAAAAAACATTTTTTTCCCTTAAATCCAATCAAATTCTCTAAAGTCAATTATTTCTTTAAATTGTTACTGCTTTTTTCTTTTTATCTTATCTGTTCAATGTGCCTATATTGTAAGCATATTTTAAACATCTAATTTTATCTATGAAACAGTGGACTTATTTTTTCTATTTCTATTTTATTCTTTTTCCTTTCTGTAATTTAAGTTTTTAGCTCTTAAGTTTTCTTATACATTTTAAAACTTATTTTGTTACACATTTTATAATTAAATCTTCAATTAATCAATATTCATTTTCAAGTTTTCTTTTTCTATTTTGTTCTCAATCAAAGAACTAACTTATAATTTATTCATTCATACTTATTTAGTAAATCTATTTGTTTATTAATACATTCTTTTACTCTATACTTCCTTTATCTCTATATATATTGATCACTATGACTTCATTTATTCTTTTTCATTAGTAAAGTTTCAAACTCTTTTCTATATAATATAACTCTATTATTAGTTTTTCCTCATTTAATTTATCTTACTATACTACTTTATAATTTATCTATTCAGTAATAACTTATATTCTATCCAAATTATGTTAATGTCTATGTCATTATTTCATCTATAGTTTGATCTCCTCTCTTTTACTCTCCTCTTCTCTGTTTCCCTAGTGCTGTAAATAGGCAATCTATTGTTCACACATGGACACCATAAATCTCTCTCTTACCCCCATCCTGAAGCAGACTGTCTTTCACCTATTGCTATGTCAGGAATTTCAGTTCACTCTGCCTATTGTTCTTTTTTTTAACATATTCAACCTTAAAACACAAAGATAATTTCAGAAAAATGTTTAACTATTATATTATTCTGCCTTTTACTCTGTGTCTTTCAAATGCAACATGTTCCATTAGTTTTGATTTAAGAGACTCCTCTCTTTATATCATAATCTCTTCTCTTAAACTGCATCAATCACTATTCCTATTGTTCTTTAAATCACACCACACATATGCAGCCCTCCTTTTATATTATAATATACTATAATCATTATTTTAACCTACTCCTTATTGAAAACATACTTTTAAACACATTCACACTTCTAATCTTATTACTTTTCCTCTTCTCATTCACTCCTCTCCTCATCCCCCCATCCTCATTCCATTCAAGGAGGAGGAAGGCAGTCTTCTCTGCACACCAATGTGGACTATTTTGCCACAATCTGAAGCAGCAAATACACAAACACTTCAATTAAATAAATACTCTTCACTACACTCCTCTTGAGTGACCTGTCCGAGCAGCCCTCTAACCTTAGAGCGGTAACCACAGGCTTTCGCCTACCCATGCAGCCCTTTGTTTATCTCATTTAACAAAGCGGTATCGTAGGTCTTAGCGCGCATCTCTCTATTTTAATCTGCTTTAATCTCTTAACTGTTACCACACATTAAGGACTCTCACTTAAAACTTATAAATGCTCTATGCATTTCTTACATCATTATTAATTTCCCAAATCTGGGTAACAGTTACTAGTGATTGTTTATCCTATCCATCAAGGCCCACTTAGGAAAACACAGATCATTTGCATACCTTACTCTGCTTTAATCTCTTAACTGTCACCACACATTAAGAACCCTCTCTTAAAACTTATAAATGCTCTATGCATATCTTATATCATTAATAATTTTCCAAATCTGAGTAACAGTTACTAGTTAATGTTTATCCTATCCATCAAGGCCCTCTTAGGAAAACACAGATCATTTGCATGCAAATTATTTTTCTTCTGTTATTCAAAACCCCTTTTTTTCTTTAATATCTTTTTTACATTTACTTTTAATTCTTTAAAGCTGGAGAAACAGTTCAAGTGTATTTACCTGTACAAGCAGGTCCTGGCAGAAAAAACACAAACTAATAAGCATAAAATCGCTTACCGTTTTTTATTGTGGCCACATATTTGTGTTTTCTCTCCAGTCCAGCATGCACAGCAACACCAGTCTTGCTCCTTTCCAGCCCACCCAGAGGGACGCCAAATGTGGTGGTTTTCTTGGTTTTTCTCTTACTAAATCAAACTCAGTCTGGAGGTTATGAATATCAGAAGAATATACTTTATTGTCGACAACAAAGGAGAACTTTCAGGAGACCCCCAGTAGCATCTCTGTCTGAAAAATTCTGCCTCCCTAATCTCCTGGCCTGTTTAAATACACTTTGACAACAATTATTTTCCTTTGTTCTCCATACATTACACAAGATCCCTCCCCTAACCCCAAATTCCACCTCTGACATCTGTTTCCTGAGACACCTCAGGCTCTTTTACCACTCTCTTTTCATCCCTTCTTTTATGACCCCTAGTTGTTTCCTCAAGCCATTTCCCATGTCCAATTGTTTTAATGGTATGCAAGTCTACAAGCAGATTATACACATATAACCTGAATATATAGATTAACTTCACACTCCAAAGAGCACAAAATCCACCTCAGTCCTAACTATAACAATGCGACGCTGCAACACAATGGTATCTTTTCCATGTTAAAGGGAGTTTTTGTCTTCACCATGACATCAACATGCAAAATTTCCATTTTAGAAATGGTTTCTCTTTCTGCAATGAACAACAATAGCATAAACTTTTATAGCAATGATCACCTTATGTACAATTATGTGCTTTGTTCAGTGTTAAATGCTACTAATGTAAATTTAAATGCCATTTTATTGGAAATTACTAGCAAACATATAGTTTTAAAATGAATGTGACTCAGTGCAAACCAACACATTTCAGTCTCTCAGCATGTACTTTTAATAATGTTTAATATGTATCAATTACGTTAAACCGCTGTCCATTTGGTTTGGAGTGCAGTGCACTATTCTGCGCTTCTAAATGGCTGGTACTTAAATGGTTTTTGTGTCGTATTGCAGACAGCTAAATTATCACTGCAATCTTGATGCACATTAGTGGTAAAGATTTTGTGTAAGATATTATCACATATGCACTGAAAAATTACTTAGACCTAAATTTTTAATGACCTACACACATTTATCGTGTATTTGGTTTACACATTTTTAATATGCCCTAGCAGACGCAACATATAATAAAAATCTACTTTAAAAAAATAAATAAATAAATTGTAAATTGTGTGCTTTTAGCTACAACAGCAGTGCACTTTTAGCCCTAAAGTCACAATAGAATGATGATGATAAATTCCAATACTGATTATTTATTGACTTGGGTGTCCAATCTGTCCAGATAAGCAGGTGATTTAGGATGAATCTATCATACAACCCCTTGCAGAAAGTATTGAATTCTTTTAATCCATGCCTAAGATAATTCAAGCTGTTTTTAAAAGCCAGAGGTGGTGCAGCAAAGTACTAGTGGTGTTGTTATTTGCTGATTCCCTATTATTTTCCTCAGATTTGTGTAATTCCCTATTTTTTTTCTTCTGTTTGATTTGTAAAAACAGTTGTAATTGACTACAGTGTTCTTTCTTTCTTTTATTTTTCTTTATTATTATTATTATTATTATTATTATTATTATTTGACAGTTTCAAACAGCCAGAGGGTTGGATTGTTGAATGAAAATAGTTTTGTGGCATGTATGTGTTTTGTTTGTTTTTTCTACCCAGTTAAACATTTGAATGAACATCTTCCAAGAATGGTGATTTCATACATATTGCCAGGGGTAGAATCCTCAAAATAGTATATCAAATCCTCTCCAGTATCTGATATGTTATACTCCCTTCAAGACCTTATTGCTATATGCGCTTGGGCAAAATCACTAGGCAGAGCTGTGATAATAATTAAGTAATGCTATTGGCTGTTTTTCAAAATGGGGAGGGGCTATTCTATATCCCACCCCTTCACTTCAGGAGACTTTTAATGTATTTAAGCCTGATTATTTACATGTATTTACGTGAACTCATTGTTGTAAAAAAAATGCTGGGATCCACACAGTTCCTTCATGTTGTTTCTACACAAATAGATTATATTAACTTAATTGTTTTTGCAATTTAATTCGAATTAAAAATAAACAAACACGTTCCAAAACAAACTCAAGAATTGTGTTGATTCAACTTATTTTATATAAGCAGCTTGAAAAAGCAGCAAAAATAACTGTTTTGAGTGATGATTAGGATTCTGAATCTGAAATGCCTCTCTTTTCTCTCTCTGTTTTGCAGGGTGGAGTTTCAGAATAAATTTTACAGTGGAACAGGGTACAAGCTCACTCCGTTTGACTTCTCATTCGGTGCTTTCTCTACAAAGTGACCTTCAGTATGAACCAATGGTCTTAGAATGGAAAAAAAAGAAGAGTTATGGAGTTATTTTGCTGGGGGCACAAATCGCATTTTAAAATGTATCATTCAAGGATCTTTCATTTTTTATACTTTATTTTGACCACCACTATACAAAAAAACTGTACCTGAAAATTTGAATGTGAAAAGCTTTGTTATGAATTCACATACATATCTTTAAAATGTTTAAGTACTTGATACGTGCCACATAGAGTCTTTTAGTTGAATGATTTTATTAATTAAGTTGAATGATTTGGTTAAGGTCTTGAGCCCAAAAAAAATAAAGTTCTTTTAACTCTCCATAATCAGATGTGTTTACTGTATAACCACTGATCCATTATGACATCAACTATATAATTATAGTTTGGGCTGCAAGTTCAAGCAGTATTTTACAATTCTAAAAATAATTCAGCACTTATGCGATAGTAAAAGTATTTGTAAAACGCGATGTTTAGTTACACACATGACTCCCAACTTAAAATCCGGTTTAAACTTTTTCAGCTTGTTAATCACTAGCATGTTCAAAATGTCTTGATTTATAGCATTATTCAAAGGGAATGATTATGTTTGTGATTGTTTTGTTGCTTTTTTTATTGCAATAATATTTTGTTTTCATTTTGGAGCTGATTCACAAAGTCCTGCGTGTCAAGCCTTACAGTGATGCTCGCTGATCAATAAAGACCAAAGTCTCTCAATACAGAAAAGGCCACGTTTGTTTGTGTTTGAGGTATTTTTGACAGTAAGTCGCAAAGAGATTATATCTTAAGACTGCATTTAGCCTTTATATAATTGGAAAAAATTACAAGGGATGTGAGAGTGATATAAATGTGGTTGGTTGTAATAAATTTTTGTAATGGGGTATATGTACACATGCTTTTATTTTCAGTCAGCCAGCCCCCCAGGACTTCCGAAGAATTGCCAAGGTGTTTAAGGTCTGATTTCTTTAAATAAAACGGCGATCTTCACTGCCTGGCTGAGACACAATATAAAGTGTTTATCAGACTAAACAAGAAGCTCTGCATTAAATTTTGTATTTTTCTGTGCCATGTCTTTAAAATATGGAAGTTAATTTTACCCCAGTATTTTCAACGGAATTTCTGTCTTTCGTCTCTTTTTAGGCTTTAACAACCAAATGGATGCTTGCGTCTATTTAACTGATTATATTTGATTACATTACAACATCAATGCTGTAAAAGAAATCGTATAAAATTGAAAATAGTCACATAATAATAAAAAATAATAATAATAAAATAGTCTGCTTTCACCGGTAGTTCATCATTGGCTATAAAACACTTGCTGTGCATTAAGGCTTAATCTGCTTAACCACTGAAAAAAAAGTAGTTATGTTCTTGTTTTCCACACTTAAAAAAAACAAAAAAACAGTGTGTGCGTGCGTGCGTGTTTGTGTATATATGTTAGAAATTTCCTTTACTAAAAAGTGGCAATTTGTCAGACATGCTCAAAGATGATGAATTAATAAGTTGTTGAAATAAGATTATATAATATTAAATAAAATATTATTTTGAATTATGATTATTTCATTTTAATTAAAATAACTAATTAAAGTAATAACTAAATTATGATTATTAAGTAAAAAGTTTTTGTCATTCAGAAATTATGCAGAGTAATTATACCAGTTTAATAAAGTTTAAAATGTTTAAGTATAAACTTTTACAGGGTATCGGCGGGGCAATAAAAAGGCTCGAAATGTCTTAAATTTGCTGAAATATTGTGGGGAGGTTTTATAAAATGTTTTTAATCTAATTCATAACAATTATTGTTTAGGGTTTTTTTACTTTAATGTGATAGGACAGCAAAGAACAGACAGGAAAGCATTGGGAGCAGAGAATGGGGAAGGATAAGACCTCGAGCCGGGAATCAAACTCGGGTCGCCGTGAGCACCTTGGTGCTATATATCGGTGCACTTAACAACTATTGGCACCGACCTGAAATGTTGTGTTGTTGGGAGGGTGTCATGGTGGCGCAGTGGGTTGCACAATCACCTCACAGCAAGAAGGCCGCTGGTTTAAGCCTTGGCTGGGTCAGTTGGCATTTCTGTGTGGAGTTTGCATGTTCTTGTGTTGGCAAGGGTTTCCTTAAGGTGCTCCGGTTTCCCCCACAAGTCCAAAGACATCCGCTATAGGTGAACTGGGTAAGCTAAAATTGTCTGTTGTGAATGAGTGTGTATAGATGTTTCCCAGTGATGGGTCGCAGCTGGAAGGGCATCTGCTGCGTAAAAATATGCTGGATAAGTTGGCGGTTCATTCTGCTTCATATCTGGCGACTCCAGATAAATTAAGGGACTAAGCTGAAAAGAACATGAAAGAACTGTGTTGTAGGTCTTAAATAATTTTAAACAGGTCCAAATTTTCCTATATTCATGTAAAGCTAGCCAATCAGACATCCATTCAATCAATCACTAACATTTCGATAAAGGTTCAAACAAAAGTTTATTTATTAACTCTTGACCAATGTGGATTAATCATCCCCCTTACAATAACATTTGTTTTTAATGTATGCCATTGGAAAAAATCTTTAGCGTTTAGCCTTATGTAAGTCTGAAATTTCGTTCATAGGCCTAATGGTCTTAAAAAGTCTTAAATTTGGCTTTATGAAATCTGTACAAACCCTGCATTAATGAAACAAAAAATGTTAATAAGAATAAAAAAGTTAATTATTTAATTTCATTAGGTAGTTATGTTTTATATGATTGGGGTTTTATTCTAAATACTTGATTAAAATGCATTGCAGTCTTGTTTTCGTTGAGTCGATTCTTCCTCTAGAGGTCGATATACCTCAGACGAGAAGTCTTGCGTGAGGTAATACGTAGAAGAAGAAGACGCCATGACGGTGAGCGGCGGGAAACACAATTAAGTTTTTCGCTGTTTCTATCGTAGTCGATTTATTTCTATTTTTGTGAATTTAAACGACTCTTCAGCATGGTTCAAGAGTTTAATGTTCTGAGATGTTTTTCCTGTCAGACCTTTCAAGTGCAGCAGGTGACTTGTTCTACTGTACCTACTCTTCATTCAGATTTAAAATATTTTTCTTTGGTTTGCTCATGTTATACAGAGATAACGTTAGTTGAGTTAAAGTTGCGTTTAAATTCACACATTCGTTCAGTGACAAATTGTGACACTCTCCCTATAAAGTTTTTATATTGTTTACCATGGTAATTTTAGTATTTCGGTCTAGAATTAAATATGACTTGTAAACACTATTTGCCTAAATGAACAATGTTAAGTTACACGTTTGAAAGTCATTGGCTGCTAATATGATTTCACTGTTTAGTATTTGCAAATGATACTTATTGAAATTATACAAAATAGGTTAAAAGTGAAAATCCAAATGTGTAAATATAAAACAAGTTTAGATAAAAGCGTAGATAAACGCTTCATACAAATAATAATTTGCATCAATTATAATTTTCCTTAATATAGATTCTTTAACCCCAATACCATAAAAACAATGCGTAACTAACAGTGTTTTGTCAATTTTAGTATAAAAAATGAGTGTTTATAATATATATATATATAAACGTTACATATTGCTACAATTTCATTTGCCATACACTTTTTTTTAACTGCTAGTTTTTAACCTGTATGTCTGAATAAATTTGAAATAAAAACTTGTTTTATTGTTTGAAGTTATGTGAATAATTCAACAACAAATTGAAGTAGAAACAATTGTTATTAAAATTATTAAAAAAGAACATTATAGACATATTTAAAAGGATTAATACAACAATTCTATTTTTTAATAATTTGTTATTGTTGACTTTTATATTTTAATGGTGTTCTGTATAATTCACTTTGTGGTTTTACTTAAAGAGTTAGTTCACTCAAAATTAAAATGTTGTTATTAATAACTAACCCTCCTGTTAGTTTCCAATCTCCTGAGGTCTTTGTTCGTTTTAAGATAATTTAGATAAAATCCAAGAGCTCTATCACCCAACAATTGCTTGAAATGGAGGATGAGTGAGTTCTCTGACTTCATCTAAAATATCTTAAGTTGTGGTTTGAAGATTAACGAAAGCCTTAGGAGATTGGATGATATAAGAGTGAGTATTAATAACGAAGAGCTTCTGAATCTGAATCAATTCATTTTTTGAATTTTTTATCCAGTACTATCATTCTAAACCACAAACTTTTTTTCCTCCAGGTGAAAAAGGCTAAAAAATGGACTTGTAAAGTGTGTGGTGAAAAGCAGTCGCTGATAAAGGTAAAGCTGAAAACAAGCTAAACTGAACCTGCCACTTGTCTTGGCAATTATTTTAGTGTTAGTTTGATGTGCTTTTTTTTTTTCTTTTCATTTGTTTGTTTTATTTATTCTTTGCAGGAGTTTGGCCGTGGTGCTGCCGCTGACTGCAGACGCCATGTTCAGAAGCTCAATGCTCTGCGTGGGGAGCAGCACCAGCTTAACACTCAACAGTTGCTAGCACAGGGGTGAGCAAACCTTAATGAGATAGGAGATATCTTGGAGAATGTTGAAAACAGGTAGATATTGACTGCAGAGATATTTTGGAGAATGTTAAAAAAGTAGCCATTGACTTTCATAGTAGGAAATGGCTAAAGGTTTCCAACAGTCTACGAAATATCGTTTGTGTCAAACAGAAAAAAATAAACTCTTATAGATTTGGAACAAGTGGAGGATGACAGAACTTTAGTTTATGATTAAACTATCTCTTTAATCTGAGTAATTTCTCATTTAAAAAAAATGAAAGCTGTAGTTTCAATGTCAAATAATGTTTATTAGTATTATATTATAAACATTTGCTTACTTTTATATAACTCCCTAGTATATAGTATGTAAAAACTACAAAACTGTATATATTTTTTAAAATACAGAATTTCAAAACAATCTTCTAGATGTATATTTAGGTCTTTGTGTGAATAATTGGCATTTTTAATATAATACATTTCTGAACAAATGAATAGGTGAACAAGTTAATGTCATGTCACTGACCCATTGACAATTTTATTTTAAGGGATGAAGAGAATGAGAATGAAGATGTTTATGAAGTTCTGGATCCTAAATCAGAGGTAAATGCTGAGTCAGACCTTTTTGACTGCTCAATTGAACTGTTATACCATGTTGAAGTAAAATGAAGACAGTGTACATTAAGTGTACGCACACTGCAAAAACATCTTGCTGCCTTAAAATCAATCAAACTCACTAAACATATTAAGTCAAACTTTTTATTACAAAAAGTGTTTAAACCTGATTAACTTTTAAGTTAAAACATTTGTCATATCACTTTTTACACTGCAGTGTGTAACAATAAATAATCCTATTCTTGATGTAGCAAGGTGAGGCTCATGTCAGCCGCTGGAGCAAATACACCGATCAAACTACTGAGGGTCCAAATGAAGAAGAAGAGGACGAAGATGAGAATGTTTATACAGAAAGACCCCAATTCAGAATCCAAGGAACAAGGTTAGTTCTAAAGGCAGCAGTACAATATCCATACTGCCTTGCATCATTACTGAAAACCATCTGAGCAAATATCAATGTTAAAGGTTGTTATTTTTTTAAACAGGAAAAGGAAGAAAATGTCCAGTTTAGAGCCTTTTGGTGGGAATTGTGATAACTACGAGGAATCAAGATCTGGTTATTCCCAGTTTAGGAAACAGGCCCATCTGGTAAGTCACAGATATCCATATTAATGACAGATTTGTATGCTGAGATTATGAAAAATGTCCAGACTCGCTGCACAAACCTGACAGTAATGCTGGAATAAAAAGATTATTAGATTAAATATATAGAAAAGTCATTTCACTTTTGTATCTTCTGTAGCCGCTACAACTTGAGAAGAGGTCCAGTTCATCATGGAATAAAGGGAGTGTTTCCAAATATTCAAACTGCCACAGACCAGATGATGTGGTACCAAGTGCTAGAACAAAACTCCCATCATCCCGACAGACTGTTGATCATTACCCTACAGCTTGCTCCAGTTCCACAAACACCATGGAAAACTCTATTGGAAATAAACAGCAGATTAAATCTTCCTATAGGCCTCCAACTGCTGATGTAAACAAACACCTTCCCATCCAGAGCGAAAGCCCCTCTGTTTCTTCTCATCAGACATTTGGTGAATCTACAATTGAGAACAAGGATTCCAAATGGAGTAAATTTCTCACCATCGTCCCCACTCAGGACAAGGATGTGTACGATTATGAATCTCAAAATGGTAAGAAAACTGAGATCCATTATTTCACAAAAGCAGATACTGGTGTGGATTTTGAAGAGCGCCGATGTCCAGCAGATGAAAAGGACAGTGGCATTCTAAACAGACAGAAGGATGTTGGTGGAAATGTATCCTGTCCAACCACCAGCTTCACAAAGTCTGTAGGCTTTGAAAATGCTGTCTGTAAACCCGTACTGGTCAAGGCACCATATTCCAGCTTATCTTTAAACCCACTGTTTTGTACAGATGAAGACTTTGATGACACATTTTAGGTAAGTTTGCTTTCAAGGATGGTTAAAAATGTTAAAAAAGTAATATTTTCCTTAAAATAATAATAAATTGTTAAACTATTAGCATTGATCTACATTTGTATTCATAACTAGTCCTGTACATTTCAAAATACCAAAACACCAAAACACAAGGAATGTTTTAGAGAAGTGTTTTATTGTAGATAGAAAAGACAGGAATTTTAGAAGACCAACAGCGACATTAATCCGATTCCATCTGTTTATTCAAACTAACAAACCCTCCAGGTTTATGCTTGATCTAGAAACTGCTTATTGATTATGCAAACAGAAAATCCATAAAGTGAAGTTGCACAAATATAGATCTCTACTTAACAACCTTTACGTAATATTATGCATACATGAAAATAATGTTCTTTATAATGTCAAGTGTTAAGCTAAAGACAAACATTTTGCATATATAAGCCCAATGATGAACTTAACTATGTACTAGTCACCTGAGTAATTGATATTGTTAATATTTGTGGAAATTTATCATTTTAAAAGTATAGAAAGACTAAGTTAGAAAATAGGCCAGAAGCTTCAAATATTAAGTATGGCCCAGGTCTTCTGTATTCCTGTGCTCCACCTCTACTTCTGTTGTCCTGGTGTTTTGGAGTACTGGATGGTGTCCAGAGCACCACCGATGTCGTAATTCTTGGTGTGGAGCAGTCTGGTTAGCCATCCACCCTCATCGGTGAAACCCATGGAGAGCATCTGAGACAGAGACTCCACCAGCCTAGGGTCTGCATCTGCAGGAGAGCGCAGTAAAGTTAGAATTGCTTCAACTGATATAAAGTGATAGCCTAGAATAGAGAACATCACTGGGCATAAATAATTATACACTTTACCTTGAGGAAGGTGTGGGTAGAGAGCTGCCTCGCGCAGACCAGTGGGACCGTCTCTGGTGCTTGTGCCAGAAGCAGTATTTAGTGGAGCTGGAAGATCTGCCCCGTCCTGCTCTAGTCTAAGAGACTGCAGCTCTCCTGTCGAAGGATCCACCTCTTTAGCACTAAGATGAGTCCATTCCTCATCACTACATTGGTCTTTCTGCCATTTTGAAACAGAGAATGAATAAACGTTAACATGATATGTGGCCTCCTTCTAGGTTGAAAACTTGAGACGATCAGGCCTTTTACAGCTAAGAGGGTATCTGTTACCTTTGTTCCCTCACTGACGCTCTCTTCAGTGGCCTGACTTCCTGGACCAGAGCCTCTAGAAAGAAGCCCCACAGAACCACTGTCACTCCGAGCACTGGATGGTCCACTGGAGGCAGGAGGAGTTGGGGTTACTTTGGTCCGCTTTCCCTCATGCTCAACATCGATGTCCACATCTATGCCTACAAAGGAAAAATCACTTTTATTTCAGAGGTTTTGCCTAACATGCCAATCAAAGAAGTATCAGATTGTGTTGGAACCAAATATTTGGGAAAGACCAAAGCAGGCGACTTACCAAGGGGGCTTAACATGGCTGCCACTTCTTCTCCGATGTTCTTTAGGTACTCCACGTTAGCCTGAGAAGAGGCAGTAGCACCTATAAAATAATAATTAAAAAAAAAGAATAAAGTCAGGAAAATTTTGGACATGCCCCAATTCTGTTCCAGTTCCTCCTGTTACAATAGACCAGGGGTGTAAAACTCAGTTTTTTGAGGGCCACAGCTCTACAAAGTTTAACTTTAACCCTAATTAAACAAACCTGCTTCACACAGGTAAGTGGGCTTGACAAAACTACCTGTAGAAATCACACTCCATCATTTTGACACTTTAACCGACACTTGCATAAGACACATTACAAAAAAACTTTACATTTGAAGTGTGCTTTACACAGGTGAGTGGGATTGACAAACCACCTGTAGAAACACTCTTCTTTCTATAAAAAAACACACAACCTACTCAGTTTCAGGGTTGGAACTAATCTCTGGAGGGACTTCAGCCTCCAGGAGCTGAGTTGACTTCTGCTATAGACCCTTTTAAATGATTGGCTTACCATTCTCATTTGGGTTTTCAGGAGCATCCTGGTTTTGCTGCGCTCCAGATGGACCTGGCTGAGGCTGGTTTTGAGCCTGAGCTTGAGCATTTGCCCACATGCAGTGTCTCATCTTACGCCAAAATTTCCCACGAGGGAGCCACTGCACACAAAAGATTAATCAAACCAAAATATTCAGATCATTTGCAGTGTATTGTATGTAGTAAAATAGTGCTATTCACCTCAAACACGTTGGCCATAGGATGAAAGATGGGCAGGAGGGCATGCTCCTTGTGCAGGCCTTTGCTCTGGCAGGTGGGGCACAAGTCATAATCGGGGCAAACGGTGCACTTGTAACGGGTTCCAGCCACCGGCCCATCACACCCGTCACAGGTCACACCTGGGTGCACCATTGGGTGAGGGTGGTGAGGAGGACCCCCCATATGAGGTGGTCCTGGAGGCCCCATTGGAGATGGACCCATATGACAGGGACCAGGAGGGCTAAAGTGAGGTGTAGTGAACGGAAACCCAGGAATTCCATGAGGAGAAGAATCACGTTTGTGCTCTTTTCGTTCTGAAAAAGAAGGAAATAACATAATTGCTATTAATTGAAGATGTCTATTTGCAAAAGATCTGAGATATTCAAAGGCTTGTATGGTCAAAGTACGTAATGATGAATCCAAGATGAAAAAGTATTCACACTCTTTAAATCTAATGTCATCATTAGACGCTCTTTCCAATCATGTAATCTTTCCAACCTTATAAACTGTGCACATGTAAGTGGCAGGTGTTTTAGTTTTATAGTATTCTAGTACTCAAATAACAAGAGTGAATCCAAGAACCAATCAAAATCTTCACAAAAGATCCTCACTAGTATTCCCTTATGGAAAGAAAAAGGTTTTCAAAAATATTTACCCCCCCCCCCCCTATTTGAATAGGGCAACGAAATATTGTTCTCTACAAAGTTTTATTGAATCAATCTCTGATAGACTCCCCATCAACCAATCACTGTTTGCATAGTTATTAAAGATGCTGACGTCATCCAGAGCAACAAGGTTGACTACGCCTTTTGCTCTTAGCTCATGACTTCTCTCTATTCCTAAGTAAGTTTGTCTCAGCAGCTTGAGAATAAGAGAACGCTTACACATGGAAGTTAAGGATGAAGAATACACTTTGATATTACAAATACAATTACTCCAACTGCTCTGAGTTAATCTAGTCTTCATAACGCAACAACAATGTTTTCAAAGCCTACTAACTTGGATGCATTCAAAAAGTAGCATGCCAGAATTCGCTGTATCTAGTAATATTCCAAAGAATGCATCAGATGGAAAAATTTACCTTCCCATGAGATCATGGAAATGTTTTGAGAATGGCAGCGGAGCAACACAACTGGTAGATGTCTTTTGTAACTTTACGTCACTTCACAAATATAATGTGAATGCAGTCGGTGCAGATTGCATTCATACTATATAGAACACGCCTGAAGCTAGTTATTAAAAGCACCACCTACAGAGAGTATGTGATTTTGGATGCAGCCAAATATGATTGTTTGTTAGGTTCGCTCTGATATTCCCGTTTATGGTTTCCTTGTGACAACAAAATGGATTTGTAGATTCTATTTAGGCTTACATTTACACTTAAAGTCCCAAAGAGTTGCACCACCCACACATTATTGACACTTCACTGTGTGTACATTCACGATAGTCAAACTGCAGGATTTAAAGTAAGGCGGTAGCAAAGGCATCACAAAACAAATACAATGTGTGAATTAATTGTAAACCGTGACAATCACGAGTGAAAGTTTATAATTTGCATGGGATTTTAAGGCCTGTTACTCTGTAAACAATATAGGCATATTTACAGAATTTAGGTTGAATAAAATATTAAAGGTTAACAGTATTTTATTTATAGAATAAATACTATACAGGATTATTTTAGATTCGATTATTTTCCCCCTAACATCATGCAGCCCTGACAAACACACACTGAAGCCACGGTCTATGCGAACTTCTAAAGTATTTTAGTGACTTCATAGATCTGGAAAAAGAAATGAAAACCACGTCTTTGACCCTTATGAGGTATTGCTAGCCTAACTGCTACCTTTAACACAGTCGTTTTGTTTTTTGATATTTATTTTTAACAAACATAGATATTAAAATTACCATCTAACATGCTAAACTCAAACTAAAGTTTGTTTGCGGCGAGTAATAAAAAGTTGCAACAGATACATTCCAAAAGCAAATTCAAGACATGGTTCATCCCAAAAAAAATTCACCCTTCCTTGACTTTTTTCCCCCTTCAGCTAAAGAAAAAAATGGTTTTTCCTACTATGGAAATCAATGGTTACTGGTTTTCAGCTTCCTCTAAAATTAGCATTTTTTATTAGGCTCCTGTGTGTATGTTCAGCAATTTCACTTTTATAGAAACTATTCTCAACATAAAAGAGGCTGAGAAATTCCAGACAGCACTTATATATTTTTTTTTTTTCAAAATGTAGAAATTCTATAACTACTTCAGTGGGCGAGTACATTTTCATTGTTGATTAAACCATCCCTTTAAGTCTAATGATCATTTAATATGTGCAGGAAATTATATTTACAGGTATAACATAATATTCTTAAATAATCGAAACCCCTTCCTAAAATGGTAGTTATAGTTTGTGTATGTTACTTACGCTTGATGAAGAGACGGAAAGTGTCATCCTTCACAAGAGCCAAACCCATCATTAGCTCATCGTCAGAGGAAAAGGCAATCATATCACCATCTTCATCTAGAGACAAAGTTCAGGAAAACAGAATGGCATTTCTGCTGGTTATTATGATTGTCATCATGTTTTGTCTGATTAAAAGTTGATTACCACACACAACAATAACAAAAGTTTTTGCTGTTTTCTTTTCAGTAAGCACAGTGGATTTCAAATATTATGCTCATGGCTTGTTTATTACGGCCTAGTACAAACGTTCCCCATCAAACTTTGTACTTGGATGTAACAATAAACAAAGATGTTTCACAATGCAGTATCCATTTTAATGGCTCAGTAATACTGAACATAGAAAGACATAAAAATCTGCAAACTATGTTTCTCAATATGTACATTTATGTGCGTTTTCCTCAAGTTTTTTATTTCTAATATCGCTTCGTGAAATTTTATTAAAACTTCAAGTAACGTAGATAAATATAAACCGCCATTTCAAGTAAAACATTGAAAGACGACACAAACACACACTTGCTTGTGCAATAAATCAGTGTTATTAAAAAAAAACATTTCAGAATTCAAATTTGACTCACCTTTATAGTACATTTGGAAGGGCGCAGTCCTGAGACCGACAAAAACATCGAGCACTTTTCGCTGCAAATACTCGAAACTTGTTGAGACATCTTGATCCACGGCGAAGCGACGGATCTCCTTGTTGCAGTCCTCCTTACCGATAAGGTAAGCTTTCACTGTCATCGACATCGTAGCGGAAAATAGCTTCTCTCCCTGAACCTCTGGAAGTGTTGCGCAGTAGAAAATGCGTTTCTCGAGCACGGGACTCTGCGTTGGCTGCGTGAAAATGCGTTTCCTACTTCAGCCGACAGTGCTGTATATAAGCCTTGTACGTCAAATGCTAATGCAGCCGAGGAGCCGGCCAATCGTTGAGAGGAGCGCAAGTTTGGGGGCGTGTCTTCGCAGAAAGATGTCCACGTCCAGCGTCATTGCAGGACGGAGTTCATGTTGTCTGTGATCATGTGAGTCACATTTGAAAACAGAATGGACGATTTTCGGTGATCCGAGGAATGACATGGCAATATGATAGGGGAAATTCCCGCTGAAATCATAGGAGTGGATTAATGCCAAAAAACGCAGTGTTATATTCAAGGGCTATAAACATACATGTTCTGGATGTCATGTAATACTTTATACAAATTGTAGATTTATTTGGCTTAATTTTAGTTGTTTTAAGAAGTGAATATCAAACAAAAGTTCTTCTGCTATACTGTAACAGTCTCACTGTTAAACATTACCCACATCCATTTTTTTAAATGCCTACATATACAAATGTGTGGTAATATTTTTGTTTTAGTACAAGATAAACTTGGTTGCTTTGTTTGAAATCCAGTTTCTCATAATACAAGCTCTACTAAGCCCTGCAAGTTTGATGTGGTTGGTAAGAGGTGTTGTGTTTCTGCTACAGGTGCTAAACAAAGTGCTGCGTCATCATGAATGAAGTAGCAGTCGCCATTTCCTTAGGAAATGTTTGTCAAATGTATACTGATCAAATTTTAAGCTTAAACCTCTAGGAAACATTACACTACCAAACTTACGTTGTTTATAATAAGGAAACAACAATTTGCCAATGCTTAATGCATCCGTTTTTTTTTCAGATTTTTCTTACCATATATAACCATTTTACTCACCACAACCTCATTATATATATATATATATATATATATATATACATATACACACACACACACACACACATATATATATATATATATATATATATATGTATATATATATATATATATATATATATATACATACATACATACATACACACACACACACACACACACACACACACACACACATATGTATGTGTGTATGTCTGTATATAGAGATTACAAATGTTTAATGTACATGATGACAATCTAGTATTAGTAGTTTAGTAACAATGTTATAACAAATATTAATTAAATTGTAAATGCATTATTGTTCATTGATATGTATATTATATTAAAACAGCAACAGCAGCAATATTAGAGTAATAATGATTATATGCCTAGTACTAGTAGTAATAATTATTATTATATACAAATATTAATATCCTTATTTTTATTTATCTACACATACATTAACTTTGATTTATCCACATTTATTGATATAACAACAACAACAATAATAATAATAATTATTATTATTATCATTATCAATAACATTAAGAAGATGAAGAAGTTTCTTTTATATAGCTCCTTTCTAAAACAAGGCTACAACATGCAGTCTCCAACAGTGAGACAGCATAAAGAAGCTCTTACTACATTATGCATAACAAGATACAGAACACGGGTTCATGAAACCTTCCAAAAAGAAAGATTATTATTATTATTATTATTATTATCATCATCATCATCATCATCATTATTATTTAATTAATTAGGATTTGTATGACCTTGGATGTTTTGGCCATATGACTGCAATGTGATTTGAGATAGAAAAAAGGAGACTAGATATGAGTATACAGGTGAGAGTGACACATCACGTTCAACTTTGACATGCTCTCTTATTACTCCAAATTTCCCTGGAGTGACTCTGTATTCTCTAATATTCTCGAAGTGTCCTCACGCATCTGATTGGGGAAAGCATGTTGTCATGGCTGAAGGGCGTGGTTTATCACCTGATTGTGACTCACGCGCTCATATGATTTCCTTTGTTTACATCAGCGTCACTGGAATCAAATAACACAGATAATAAGCTCAGATCCACCAAACCATTTTCCCAGCAAAACAGAACATAGCCAACCATTATGAACACTTCATTTGTTTTGTTTTATGAGTAAAAATATAATTGCATATATTCACTCGGTTTGGAAAGTTACACAACTTTTTATATATATATATATAACTGGTTGCCTTCTCTTAACGTTACATGTGTTACTGTATTTATGTATGAAGGTGTGTTTTATATTTAGACTATTTGGCCAAAAATAAAGAGAAAACGTGAATAGTATGGAGATATTATAAATGAAATATTGCTACAAAGATTTAGCACTTTAAAAAACGACAGTCACAAATGTAAAGAAACAATGACCATTTAAATGTTGAATAAAGTTTAATTATTAAACGTCCTCATTCCCTCCGTTAATTGTTTTAATCTTAATTAAACTAAATAGGAGTCTCATAGTTGTCACATGTCAGACATGTTTGTAGGCAAATGCGCGTCTTAATAGTCTGCTGATGGCCGTTAGATGGCGCCATCGTCCCACCCAGAGGTACTGCTCCAAGCAAACGGCCTACAAAAGTGTGTGTTTGTGTGATTTATTTATTATATATATATATATATATATATATATATATATATATATATATATATATATATATATATATATATATATATATATATATATATATATATATATGATCACTATGAGTTTCCTCTGGGTGCTCCAGTTTCCCCCACAGTTCAAAGACATGTGGTAACGGTGAAATGAATTACAAAAAATATGCTGCATAAGTTGGCTGTTCATTCCACTGTGGCGACCCCTGATGAATAAATAGACTATAAGCTGAAGGAAAATTTATGAAATATATGATCACTGTCATTTCAGCTGCAGTGTATTAAGGGTTAGTTTCACTCACAAACAGTTGACATTTTTGAATAATTATATATATTTTTTTCAAAAAGAAATCTCTTTAAAAGGTAGTTCACCCAAAAATGAATATTTCCACACAGCAAACTGTAAAGTGTTGAATTTCTGGTGTAAGCTCCTGTGTTTTAAAATCCAAGTGTACATTTACTGTTTTTAACGCTGATCTGGGTTAAATTGTGATTTTAACAGTGTGCATCTCTGGTGTTGCCTTTCCGTACTCTTCATAGGTGTTAATTGCACAAATGGACACCTGTATTAAATATTAATGTCCATTGCATTCACTAGATATGACAAACGTTTGTCTATAAAACCACACTGAAAATTTTTGGTATGAAATACATATTCTTTGTAGTGATTTAATGTTTACCTTAGTCTATTCTATGAATTTTAAAGAAAATAAATTCAGTTTTTTAACTTTTTTTTCCACGAATGTTTAAATAATGAGCTTAAACTCATTTTAGTAAGGCTGTAACAGTAGAGAGTTTGTTTACATTTTATATTATTATTATTATTATTATTATTATTATTATTATTATTATTATTATTATTATTATTATTGTTATTATTATTATTATTTCAGGACGTTAAACATTCAAATATAAACGTATATAAAAAATAACTTTATGTAAAAAAATAAAACAAATATAAACAAATATTAACTCTTTATGAATTTTATGTGGTGAAAATGTTAACTTTTACTCCTGTCAGTTTAGAGAAAAGTTTAATTTATGCTTAATATGACCTGGCAGTGGTGATAGAGTATTTAATCTAGTGTCCAGTTTTTACACTCTAGGTGTAAAATAATTTACTCTGCTTAAGTGTATTCAACCCTTTGAGTGTAACTATAAGTGTAACTCTAATTCAAGTGTAACTCTTATTCAAATCTCGAAGTGTAACTTATACACTTGTGTATATACACCAGAAAAGAGCAATTTAATAATGTACACTGGACAATTTGCCCTGCAGGTGTTAAAAATGTTTAATGTGATGTGCATTTTTACACTATAAGTGTAAAATATTTTACCATGCAGGGGTATAAATATTCAACACTTTTGAAAGTTAAACTTGGGCACTTTGCTGGTTTGACTTATATATACACGAGAAAAGTGTTAAATTCAACACCTGTGGTGTAAAATGTACACTGGTAAATTTGCTGTGCACACCATTTTCTCACACTCATTAGTACGGAACCCCGGAAGGGACGTAGTGGGGGAGAAAAAAAATGGGTGGGTGAAAAAAAAATTATGGGTGAAAGAAAAAAATTGGGTGGGAGGAAAATATATATTTCTAAGTTTTTTGCGTTCTCTCGCAAAGATGTTTTGCGTTATCTCGCAAAGATGTTTTGCGTTCTCTCGCAAAGATTGTTTGCGTTCTCTCGCAAAACTGTTTCTCCACAAACACTTCCTGTTCACTGCACTCACGTAAACCCTCCCGTTTTGCTGAAATTCTCCCATATTTTACCATTCTATCCCACTTTCTTTACATTACTGTGCGCTGATTGTCGCCTTTCACTTTGCAACCTCTGAACCAGTGAATGCATGTTTAAGCGCTGACTGACAGACGCGCTCCATACAATAAACTGATCCCAGATCAGAGTCTGTACGCGCCATTTAAAGGAACACTTCTGTTATCAAACAAGTGCGCAGCAAATGAATCTCATGTTTTGTTTAGTTTGATAACAGAGGTGTCTCTGTAAGAATGCACATATCTATAATGAAAGCAGTCCATTACTTTAGAAACTGTTTGTGCTCATTTAAGAGAAAATACGCTGTTTAAAATAAAACATGCAGGACGGAGATGTTTCATATTATTCAGTGTATTTGTCTGTTTAAACATACACCCGCTCCTCTGTAAATGGCGTGTACAGACGCTGATCTGGGATCAGTTTATTGTACGAAGCGCGTCTGTCAGTCAGCGCTTATGCATGCATTCACTGGTTCATAGGTAGCATACGCACAGTAATGTAAAGAAAGTGGGATAGAATGGTAAAATACGGGAGAATTTCGGCAAAAACGGGAGGGTTTACGTGAGTGCAGTGAACAGGAAGTGTTTGTGGAGAAACAGTTTTGCGAGATAACGCAAAACATCTTTGCGAGGGAACGCAAAACATCTTTGCGAGGGAACGCAAAACATCTTTGCGAGATAACGCAAAACATCTTTGCGAGGGAACGCAAAACTTTGCGAGAGAACGCAAAAAACTTAGAAATATATATTTTCATCCCACCCATTTTTTTTCT